TGTCTTCCTCCCTCCTCTCCCTCCTCTCTCTCTCTCTACTCTTAAAAAGCAGCACTTGGCATAAACAAATTTAAAAACCGAACAGATGTGAAAGCGAAGGTGAGGGGAAAATTGGTTGATTGGTAGATGTTTGGAAAATTTATTTAAATAATGTTAGGAAGGAGAAAAAAAAAAGGGAAGAAAAGGAAAAGCAAATAAAAGTGAATCTATTGAAGAATATGTCATCATAGAGATAGATAATGATGAGGATGATTTTAGTAAGGTAAGGTAAGATAGGATAGGATTGTCAAATTTTAAACTTCATGAGATATGACAAATATTTAGAAGACGGGAATATTGTGCATTATTATTTTTATATTTCTTTTTTCCTTTCCATTCCCATTTGGAAATTAAAAATAAAAAAGGAAGAAGTGAACCATAAATATGGTCAATTAGGAAAAAGATGAATAGTGCAACTAAAGCATTATCATGATGATGATGATGAATTGGATTGCTAAGCTTTTGACAAATGATATCTCATTTTGAAATTTTAAAACCAATAATTTGATCTCATCTAAAGCATAGGGTAGAGAGTAAACAGATAGTTAATGAAACTTGATATTTGGAAATAATCACAAATCTGGAAGGGATAATTAGCTAGGGATATCGAAATAGAGAATGACAATATGAAATATATCCAGAAAAAAAAAGGATTGGTTGATTTTACATTGTTCATTGATGAGAGTATATCATCAAGTTTTGCCATAATTAGTTTGTATAATTAACAGGAGAAAAAATAGGGAGTATTTCTAGTGTTCTGATTGTTATACTTCTGTAATTCTTATGGAAAAATTAAAACTTTTCATATAATACGGTGGAAACGACAGGAATTGGTGTTTAAAAAAAATGATGAAAATTATAAATGAAGTTATTTTTGATCTCTAACTCTATGTTTTCTCCTTTTTTTCTTGTATTTCCAACTTTTTTCATTTCTTTTTTTTTTTAGACAGCTGAAAATGGTAGTTGCGCAAAAGTGGCTAATCTAACAACGACAACATCAACAAAGTCTATTGAAACTGATGCTGGAATTGGAATTGGAGTTGATCCAATAGTTCCTATATCATCAGTGCAATCACTGAATGAATTAAGCGAACATATTTTAAAACTTTGTACTGCTGCTCAAACGACAGCCATTGCAGGAACAGCTTTAACCGCTACACCAACATCTCCTTCAGCTACGGTAACCCATGATTCATCATTTCTTCCCTTACAGGTACCAGGGGTTGGTACAAACGGTTGTTATACCGATCATTTATCTGGAACACCACTGATAAATCCTCAATTGCAGTCACATCTTGCACTACAATTTATTACCTCACAACTACCTCTAACGGAATCATATAGACTACCTATTCTTACAAATCCTTCTCATATTGCATCCGATATTCGATGGAAACAAGTTTGTGAGACGCAGTCATCTACACTTTCATCCGTACCACTTATTAACAGTAATAAATCAGCTGCTGATATGCGACAACATTTAATCGTTACCGATGGAGATTCGTCTAGTAAAAGTGCGCAAATATCTTCTATTACTAATTTGGATATACCATCATGTACAACTAGCAAAACAGGTAATCATATTTGAACAATATTTGGTTTTGGTTTCAAAAATAATTTCCAAGAGTTAGTTGTATCTTCAAAAACCATTGTATAATGTGCTTTTTTCTTCATATTGTTGATAAAAGCTATCATTCTTTTTCTTTTTTTCTTTTTACACAAATATATAAGTAAATGATGTGTGTTTGTGTGTATATATGTGCCTATATGTATTTATGCATGTATTGTATATTGTTAAAGAAATGAAGGAAAAGTTATTTTTATAGGAACATCATTGGAAAGACTGTTGGATCAAACTTTAAAGGAACCTGTTTTATCGGTTGCCAAATTATTGATTATGGAATTTCGGCGTGAAAAAGAATTATTACTTAACCAGAATGGACAATTACGTCGTGAAAATGCTCTTCTACGTAGTGCACTTGCTAGTAGTACTGTTTTGGTTGGCCTAAAAGGATTGACTGCAGCGAATGTTCCAATTTCATGAAATGGAGACAAAGAAAAACGAATGGAATGTTCTTATTTACTTTCTTCCATGTAATCACTACCTGATTGATTTTTGCTTTTTCTTTTGTCCATTTTTACAACCTCAATATCTGAACCGGTGAGTTTATATATGTACGACGGAAGTGTTAAATCTTAATCATCCTTTGTTTGTTTGTCTGTGAAAAAAGACTGCCGCTATTGGGAAGGAAAAAAGTTGGTAATGTCCGAAAACAGTCAATGTCGTTGCATTAGGAAAGGAATTCTTCTTTTTTTCTTTTTTTCTTTGTTCAGATTGATTCGTAAAAGGATTTCTCATGGCACAGAATGTTTGGTTGACTGGATGGACGAAAAAAAAAAAGACGTAGATGGATTGGTGGATTGCTTAAAGCAGGGAAATTATCCGGAAGGATTAAAGATTTGGGCATGTGTTTTTCATGTTGTTCAATCTAGATATCTGTTGGTAAAGATGAGATTACATCATTAGTATAATTCGTTTTTGTTTATTAGTCAGTGTAACCGATCTCGTTTCTACTACGGGTTTGCAGCAGACCGAGGTCGGTGCTCCGACTATATTGTTGCGATATTTTAGAATATTTTATAATAATGCTATTTGTAATTTTATTTTTTAATTAATAATGATAATGGTTTAATACTGATCATTATCATTGCTATTATGATTAATTATTATTTCATACAAAAAAGACCGCTGTATTGGGTAAATGCCATTCCTCTGGGATAAAATTTTCCGCTTGTTTTCTCATTTAACATTGTTTTTTCTTTTTTGTTTTTTAATTGTTCGTTGATTTTTATTTTTATGCATATTATTTTTGATAATTTTTATCGATTGTCTTATAGTGAACTGTTTATTCTTTTTCTGCCACTTTTCCTTTTCATTCACCTCAATTACAACTGAAAAGATTGTGGTAGAATTAGAGAAGTAATAACTTTTTTTGCGTAATTTGAAATTGAACCATCGACAGATTTTTTTTCCTGTACAGATTTATTAAGCTATTGTAACATTTGACAACAGTGTACTATTACCTTTTAGATTTCATATTTGCATTTTCAATGGAAAATACTGCGATGATAATATTGAGGGCCTAAAATTTAGGACAGGAGGTGTGAATTTCAATTAAATTGAATAATTTGATTTTTTCTTCCTTCTTTTTATGACTTATCAGAAAGTTTTATTGCTAAGTTTCAGAATTTCATTTTATTAACTTGTTCCGATTTTTGGAATAGAATATTGGCTTTCTGAATATTTAATCGTGATATTGAAAATCGAAAATCCCATAGAGCTATGAGATATGGATGTGTTAGGATAAAATGATTTTCGATTCTAAATTAATTAATTTAAATTTGTATGTAAAAAAGTGTGTGTATGTGTGGGAAGGAACGAATATTTTTATCCTAGTGCTGTAAAGTGTGCTGAACACAACTTTAAAAATCTTTATTCATTTAAAATTGTCAAACCTCACATTTTGTCTTTTTTTCTTTGCATCGTTTGTAAAACTATATATATATAT